TTTTTTTTTGTAAATAGCTGTTAACAGTTCTAGAAACTTCTAAATGTTAATCTGGTAAAGACAGACAATTATAACAAAACAGACACAAGAAGCACAGATAGCATATTCACATTAATTCATATATAATTGCTATCATTAAATGCAATTTCTGCAAAATTTGTTTCTGATTATGATTGGTGGTATAAAGAAAGGGAATTTGGTAGCTGGGTTCTTTTCACTAAAGATGCAGACAGCTAGCAGAATTAAGTCCCTAGTCCTTCGATCTAACCCTTACCCACTGTGGTCTGGCTCTTGGTACAGAAGTCCTGGCAGCAGGATGTGTACGTCCCACCAGTAAGGCTTTATCAGTGTCACTGTTCTGTGCACTTTGTTAAAACTACTTCACCCTCCCCAAACTAACGTAACTTGGGGAATATTTGATGAAGGTGGTAATTTAATAAGGAACATTACTAAATCCAACGTGATTTTCCATTGTAAACATTAAATTTTTAAGGTTTCAGCTGCATATCTCCTGAAATAAAATTTCTCTTTAACCCTTGTCCTCCTACTTTTATCACTGTGCTTCATTAGGAACATGATGGAAAAAGGTTTTGGCAAGAAGCCATTCGAAAACAATATAGAGTATTTCTAAAGTATTGACTTTTTTCTCTTTTACATATCATTCTTTTACATTTTTCAAATGCCAGATGTTGCTTTTTGTATTTTTTCTGTAGCCTCCTAGTAAGCATTGCATATTTTTAAAAATGTATTTTTTGACACATTAAAAATTATATATATTTATCACCTACATGGTTTGATGTATACACTACAGAAGAGCTAAATGAGTTAATATATACATTATTTCATGTACTTATTAGATATTCCATATTAATGGCGTCTGTTTTGAAAAATGCAACAGAGTTGTAGGCACAGTAGTCAGTTACTTATGGCTCTGCTTTGTAGAGAAAGGTGTATGAACTGGTCTGCACTCTGCAGATACTGTGCTAATTCTTCAAGAGAGCTTGTCTTTTCTCCTAGATGGAAAAGAGACAAGACCTTTCTGAGAATTCACAAGCACAACCTACATGTACAAATCAACCTGGTTTGAATGCTGGATCTAGAATATGCACATAAGTGATGTTCTGATCTGGAAAGTGGCCCCTCTTTCCTGTCTCTTCTGGTTGGCTGCACACTTGCAAGGTTCCTGTGCTTTCCCTCCCAGTACCACACCAGAGTGCATCTTTTTTTTTTTTTTGGTCTTTTTGACACAGGGTCTCTGTAGTCCCACACCAGGCTGTCTTTGAACTCACAGAGATCCACCTGCTTCTGCCTTTTGAGTACTGGGATTAAAGGCATGCACCACCATGCCTGGCTTTTTGTTTGTTTGTTTGTTTGTTTGTTTGTTTGTTTGCAAACAGCATGTTTTGGGCTTAGTCCTAGAGGACTAAGTGAGGAGACAGAGGCATGGAATGTGTGGGGTTCTGTCACCAAGCTGGTCCAGAGCCAGCTCAGTCGTGGCCTCATCCTGCAAAGTAGGTGGCTGTGAGATGGCGATGGTAGTTTCTTTTCCTTTGTCTGTCTCTCTTTCTCTCTCTCTTTTATCCTTTTTTTTTTGGTGATAGGGTCTTCGTCTGGCCCCAGCTGGCCTGGAACAAATTTTGTTTAGTCTTTTGTACTTTGTTAATTTCTCAGTAGTTAAATTTTGGGTGTGTTTATGTGTGTGTAAGTGTGCACATTCATGTGGAAGCCAGAGGTTGATGTCAAGTGTTGTCCTCCATTGCTCTCTACCATTGTTTTTGAGACAGTGTCTCTCACTGAACCTGTAGCTTACTATTCTATTAGATTGGCTGGCTACCCCTAGGAATCTGTTTCCTCCAACCCCAGTGCTAGAATTTTAGGTATACTCCACTCTACCTGCTGCTGGGGCTCAAACATAGCTCCTTACGCTTGTGCAGCAAGTACTGTACTAACTGAGCCATCTCCCCAGCCCAGCAGTTGAATTTTTAATTAGTGTGCGTGTGCAGAGGGGGTACCAAAGTGTCAACCATTCAACAACTTAAAATAACAGATTATCAGTCCCTTTTCGGGTTTTGTTTTGCTCATTTTTTCATTCGTTCTTTTGAGGCAGGGACTCTTGTAGCCTAGCTGGCTTGGAACTCGCTATGTAGACCAGGCTGGCCCCCATCTCACAGAGATCCGCCTTCCTCTGCCTCTTGAGTACTGGGATTAAAGGCAAGCGCCACCATGTCCAGCTATCAGTCCTTTCAAATTCTGCCTTGCTCTTGCTGCTGTTGTATTCTTTTCCTTTAGAGGTAATAATTACAGTGAATTTTGAGTTAATTATTTATATAAAAGTTTAAATTTCACATTTGTCTCAATATTGTTTTACCTACTATTTTTTATGAGTCATGCTGTATTTCTCTGTGCCTTTTTTTTCCCCTGAAAATTATGTCTCTAATTTTAGGATTCCTCCAGGATGATACATTTTTATTTTTGATGACATTAAAGCATTCTGTTGTACAGAGTTAGCAGTATATTCTTCATTCTAATGGACCCTCTCTCTACTTATTGATAGTTACTTAGTGTTTTTCTTATACAAGACTTTGATTGGTACACAGGTTAAAGGAATTTGTAGTGTTTATGCTCAAAGGTAACTTTATTAGTGTAGGTAAAGTATTCTACAAAACAATTTACTAATTAATATTCCCAGTAACAGGGCATAAAAGCATGCATTGATCCATATCCTCTTCAGTGTTTAGTTTTAGCACATTTTAAAATTTAGTGATCTCTCTCTATTATTATCCATCTTAATGAATTTAGCAACTGGTTATCATGCATACATTGCTTAAGAATGGTGTTACATTTTGAGAAATGTATTATTAGGTGATTTTTATTATGTGAAACAGCCTAGAGTATTTTTATACGAACATGGGATGGTAAAGTTCATTCGCTCTGTGTGAATTGTACAATCAAGAGATTCACTAAATATATCTGAGGCTGCTGCCAGCATAACCTGGTCTATGGCATACTCTTACACTCTTTTGTAGTTAACTTTTTAAGTAGGAAGAACATGTTCTTAAACAATGGTAGAAGTACAGTAAATACATAAGCCAATAACAGCTATTTGTTACTCTCAAGTATGTATTATACATAACTGTATGTGCTGTATTTTTATATAGCCTGGAATATAGTGTTTGTTTACATCAGCAACTCTACAAACACATTAGTAATGCATTGCAATATATTACCACAGCTAGGACATCACTATGGTAGGAATTTTCAACCCTGTAACAGACTGTTGTTTATGTGGTTTGCCATTGCCCAAAACCTTATATATGTGTGACTTTATGTTTTAGATGGAACATTGTTTCACTGTCTTTTGTCATCTTTGGTTAAGCAGAAATTTTAGAATTATCAGTCTGTGCTCTTTTTATTGGCACTTTATTGGCACTTTTTATTATTTTAAAAAAATCCTTACTTGAGGACTGGCAGATGCCTCAAAGGCCTGATGACCTGAGATTCATCTCCAGGACCCACACAGTGGAAGGAGAGAACCGACTCCTGCACTGCATTGTCTTGTACATTGTCTTGACATGCACACACAAAGACACACACACAAAATGTAATTGAGTGCTCTTTATATTTTATGTGGAAATGTTTTACCCCTGCATGTACATATGTGTACCGTGTGTGTGTGTGTGTGTGTGTGTGTGTGTGTGTGTGTGTGTGTGTATGGTGTCCTTGGAAGCCAGAAGAGGGTGTTGGAGTCCCTGGAACTGGAGTTAGGTTGTGAGCCACCATGTGGACACTGGGAACTGAACCCAGGTCCTCTGGAAGAAGAGCAGCAGGTGCTAATATATATATATGTTAAGAAACAAAGAAAAAGAAAAACCTAAGCATAAAATACTGGGAAAATATGTGGTGGTTTAATGAATCTAAATCTGGTGGTATCACTGTTGCACAGTGAGGTAAAAACAGACATTGAGAGTAACTGCTTAGCAAACTTTAAAATTTGGGTTAGTGAGATGGCTAAGCAGGTAAAGGTGCATGCTACCAAGCCTGATAACCTGAGTTTGGTTCCTAGAACCTACATCGTTGTCCTCTGACCTCCACATGTGTTTTGTGAAGCTTGTGTACACACACACACACTCTCTAAATAAAAGAAACTAAAAAGTTCAAAATCTTTTTCTACCCTTGGGTTCATGAAGATAGTCATATTTCGCTTTTCCATGTAGGCATATAGCCCACTTATCTTTTAGACACTTTTCTGTTTCACTGTTCTCTGTATCCTTGTCAGTTTTCCAGTCAACTCTTAATAGCTTTGTACTTTTTTTTGGTGTTAAATGGTATGCATAATAATGTGTGAAGCCTCTTTGATAGTCAACATGAGATTGATAATAAAGCTAGGGATAGTGTGAGAAATACTGAATAAGAAATGGGCTTTGTTTCTATGAGTAAAGGCTAAAATGATTGATTTCTTTTTAGCAGTCATGAACAAAGTTCTGGGGCTGGAGAAATGGCTCAGCGGTTAAGAGCACTGACTGCTTTTGCAGAGGACTCGGGTTCGATTCCCAGCACCAACATGGCGGCTACGAACTGTCCTTAACTCCAGTTCCATGGGAATCCGAAGTCCTCTTCTGACCTCTGTGGCATTGCAGGACACGGGTGCGCTCACATACATGCAGGCAGTACACTCATACACATAACATAAAAATAATAAATAAAATATTTTTAAAAATTAAGTTCTTTCATAAAACTATCAGCTTAAAATAAACTGCCTACTCTAATGAACTATCTCCTGAGTTTTAGGGTTTTTAATTACTTGTAACCTTCATTCTCAGTATGTTTAATAAGTTGTCATTCTGTTCTTTGAAGGGAATTTGTTTAAAAAGTTTTCACCTAAAGTATAAGACTAGTGTTTAGTATTCCCATTATTTGAAAAAATATAAAATATCAGAATATGAATTCTTAAGACTGTTAAAGAATTTCTTTAGTGTTAAAATGTATTGCTTTATTTTTAGCATATGTTACCTTGATTGAAAATGATTCAAACCCAGAAGTTAGGCGGGCAGTGTTATCATGTATTGCACCATCAGCAAAGACTTTGCCAAAAATTGTGGGACGCACTAAGGATATAAAGGAGGCTGTCAGAAAGCTGGCTTATCAGGTAAATAAGTTCAATGTCTTCTGTAGATATATTTTTAAGAGAGAAACCATTTCAAGGCATTTTTGAAAAGTACTTAGTGACATAATGATTTTTCCAATTAGGACTTTGAAAAATATAGGTGATTTAGGTAGAATATTATTGTATTAAATGTATTAACATAGATTTTTTTTAAAGAAATTCTGGTTAATTATCTAAGATGAATGCTGTATTCATAAATAACCTATACATTGTATTGAAGACATTGATCATCTTTTTCTTGTCTTCGTAAGGTGTTAGCTGAAAAGGTTCATATGAGAGCTATGTCTATTGCTCAGAGAGTACTGCTTCTTCAACAAGGTCTTAATGACAGATCAGGTAAGATACAGATCTTTGTAAACATTTATAGATTTTTGAGGTCAGTCAGATTTGATTGGATTAGGAAAAAGTTATAAATTAGATTGAATAAGGCTGTCATTTCCATAAATTTGATGAAACATTTTGGGGCACTATATAGTAAATATAGTGTGAAAGATCTTGGAAATTTGAAGGAGCAAGACATTTCTTTCAGACTTCCTGTGCTTTACAGAGGGAGAAACTTGTAAATTCTAGCTAGCTAATTCCTGTCAGAAGTCTGACAGAATCTCTTTTTATCCTTTTTCTTTCTTCAAAAATACCATTCTTTTTTGGCTATAGCCCAATATGGTTGTGTTCTGTGCGTCAGAAACAATTAGGAATGATCAGACCAATATAAGGCCCTATGCTCTCATCTGTTAGACTAGAGAATCTGCTTTCAGAAAGGATGTTTTAAAGATGCTCTCAAGAGGCCATGAAGTCTCAATTTTGCTGTAGCAAGAAAGCCAACTTGAGTTTGAACAGTGTTAGAGGACTGACCAGGATGGATTTAAATGAAGAGAAAAAAGTTTGATTAGTAAAATATGTTAAGATTTGTTACAAAGAACAATCATGTAATAAGATGACGTCAGTCAATAAAGTGAAATAATGGGTGTTATGTGTTCTGGTGCTTAGTGAACTCAGTGGAGAGATGATAAAATTTTTTGATTAGGCTGTGATACAGGTTGGGCATTTTGTGCTGAATTTGTCCCATTTGTATTTTGAAGTTAGCATCACTATGACTTTGTAATGTCATTGTATCTTTTTCTTTAATATGCTTTGTCCTGCTTATAATCTCTATTTGTATTATAAGTGTCAACTTAATGTTAACATTGATCTAAAAACAAAAACTGGGGAGTCTGTTGTTTACCTATTTGAAATGACTCACCAGATGCTGTGAAACGAGCAATGCAAAAGCACCTTCTCCAAGGCTGGTTGCGTTTCTCTGAAGGAAACATCTTGGAGTTGCTTCATCGGTTAGATGTGGAAAATTCTTCTGATGTGGCAGTCTCTGTTCTCAATGCCTTATTTTCAGTGACTCCTCTCAGTGAACTGGTGGGAATTTGTAAAAACAATGATGGCAGGTATGTAAAGATTTCATTGTTTAAATTGTACAGAGAAACTTCTTCAATTTAAAATTATTTTTTCCTCTCTGTGACTTCAGATTGTATCACTAAATTTTATTTGTTCTTTTCTGTACTCTTAATAAATGCAAAACTGTTATACATTACTTTAGTTGTACCCTTTTACTTTTGTAACTTTGAGTTTTGCCTTGTGACTATCATGAGAACATACCCAAACATACATCCTGGCTATGTGTTGGCTCATTTGGAGCTTTGTCTTTTTCAGTCTAAGTAGTTTTTCTTTAGGTAGGTAAATTAATGACTTTGTAATTAGAAAATGGTGGTTATAAATCAAACTGCTTCTTTCCATTTTTGTTCTATTTTTTAACTGGATGTAAAGATCATGCTTTCTCTTATTCTCTCCAAATGAAGGAAACTGGTTCCAGTAGAAACATTAACTCCTGAAATTGCTTTGTATTGGCGTGCCCTTTGTGAATATTTGAAATCAAAAGGAGATGAAGGTGAAGAATTTTTAGAGCAGATTTTGCCAGAGCCTGTAGTGTATGCAGAGTATTTACTGAGGTAAAAAATTTTTCCTTTGATTTGAACTATACTTGAGTTGCTCTGTGTGCCAGTCTCCACCTGTTATTCAAAGTCATGCTTGGTTGGGAATAAGCTAACAACTCTATTTTGTACATACATATGTGCATTTAGTGTTTCTGAAGAATACTGTCTGTTGATTAGTATACTGAAAGAGTACAAAATCAGCATGTTAATAACTGTATGTTATTTTTTAAAGACTTAATATCTGGTTATGAATATCATTGTGTAGTGATAATGATGTGTTACTTTCTGAAAATGGTTGGCAAGCTTATTCTGTGTGCCAGATAATAAGTATTTTAGGGTCTACGAGCCTTACCATCCCTGTTACAGTGACACAACTGTGCCATGAAGTGCAAAAACAGTGGAATATAATATGTAAATGAATAAAATTTCACTGAACTTTATTTGAATTTTATCTAATATTCATGTATAATATAACAAATTTTAAAAATTGTGTTTAGACTGTCAGCTATACAAACACAGGTAGCATGGCTGGATTAGTTGCGTGAACTGGTTTCAGATGCACAGGCTGAAGTTGTATGACCCATTTCATTGCCATTCAGAGGCAGGCAGATCTCTTGAGTTTGAGGCCAGCCTGGTCTACAGAGTGAGTTCCAGGCCGGCTGGGGCTACAGGGAGACCCTGTCTCAAAAAAGACCAATAAAATAAAATAAAATAAAATACAGCATGTAAATACTTTTTTCTGGGTTTTAAAAAATTTTTTTTGATGTGTAAAATTATATGTTGGTACATGTAAATCTATTACAGTTTTTTTTTTTTGCACTGTTGGTAGTCAAACCTAGGGCCTTGTGCGTACTGTATAAGTGCTTTTCCATTCTGCTACATCTACATTATTAATTTTGCTTGTTTCAGTTATATTCAGAGCATCCCATTAATTAGTGAAGAGCAGAGAAGTGATTTTGCCTTCATTGGAAATTTGATGACAAGAGAGTTCATAGGTCAGCAATTGATTCTAATTATCAAATCTTTGGATACCAGTGAAGAAGGAGGAAGGTATGTTAAAATGCTAACATTTAAGCTAATTTACTCTTCTAATTTCATTATTTTTTAAATTACCTTGGTTTAATATTTAAATGATACTAATGCTGATCATAGTGAAACTAAAAATGATGATAAAGACATTCTATGTGTTTTTTAAAGAATATTTTTAATTTGTTATTTAACAGTTTTATACATATATGTGATGCATCTTCATCATGCTTATCTCCAGTACCCCTTACGCTCTCTCTTTTTTAAAAAATAATCCACTGAGTCCAGGTACTATTGCCTGTATGTTCATGGATGTGTGGTCAGTCATCCATCAGAGCATGATGTACCTACCAGTAGTCATACCTCAGAAGAAAAGTGACTCTTTTTCTTCCAGCAGTCATGAATTGCCAATAGCTCCTCAGCTCCCCTCCCGCACCCCATCCATGCTGGAATGTTGACTGGCTTGATCTAGTGCAGATAACCGTAGCTGCTGTGAGTTCATGCATGCAACAGCCCGTGTCCAGAAGACAGCACTTCATTCTGTTCCTCTCCATCCACTGGCTGATTTCCTGGATTTACATACAGTTTGTTGCAATAGGATTAAATATATCTACCCAAAATCTCTAAAACTGTTCTAAAAAGTTTTGCTTTCTTGTATATTTCAGTATATTTGTGCATATATAGTTAATGTTAGGATATGTTCTGAGAAATGGGTTGTTAGCTGATTTTGTTGATGTGTAAGCATAGTATATACTTACATAAGGTTATATGGCATAGGTCAGGTGCTCAGTATGGTCTTTTGGTTCAGTCATGACAAAACATATATGAGATTATTACAAATGTAACTTATAACAAGAAATATGCTAAGTATACTCTACAGTAATGGCAAAACATGTAGTGTGGTAAATACATGAACCAGTAATGTGATTATATGTGCTGTATTCCTGTATAGCATTGTGGGTTTGTTACACCAACAGAGAAGTGAATTGAGGCACAACATTATGGATAATAATAATAATAGCAATAATACATTAGATATTTTTCAGGTGCATTACAAGCTATGGGACCATCATACATGTAGTCTAATGTTAACTTGGCACATGATGGCATATATATATGCATGTATATAATGTATATAATTCTAATACAATTTCTTCAGTATAAATAATTTCAAATTTTTAGGTTTAAAGTATTTGTTTTAGAGAGTATTTATTAAAGGTCAGAGGGTAGTTTATAAAAAGATGTTTGTAGAATGAGTTTTTTTTTAAACCTAAAGTCTGTGTGTATGTCAATCAGAAGAATGGAAATGTTAGGGATAAATGTATTTTGGACTGGTAAGATGGCTCAGTGGGTAAAAGTGCTTGCTCCCAGGACTGGCAACTTGAATTTGATCCTTGGAACTCATGTGATGTGGTGGAAGGAGAAAACGGACTGTAACTCAGCCTCTGATTTCTACACTTACATCAAGGAATGCATGTGCACACACACATCCACACACACAAAATAGTGATATTTAAAGTTAAATAGATCTTTTTGATTCCAGGAAACGACTGCTGGCTATTTTGCAGGAGACTCTTATTCTACCCACAACCCCAGTATCCTTAGTTTCTTTTCTTGTTGAGAGACTACTCCACATCATCATAGATGATAATAGAAGGATACAAATTGTAAGTATTTTTCCTTATTTTTGATAAAGATAAGATCATTGACATCAAAGAGTGCCCTAATTTTTCTTTAGAACTTTGTGTTACTTTTCTGTTGCTGTAATTAAAACACCATGACTGAGGCAACTTATAGAAGAAAGAGTTTATTGGGCTTATGGTTCCAGAGGGATGAGTCCATCAGAGCAAGGAGGTATGGTAGCAAGCAGGCATGGCAGCAGCAGCCCAAAGCTGAGTACTCATGTCTTCAAACAGGCACTGGAAGCAGAGAGAGAAACAGGAAATGGGGCAAGGCTATGAGCTCTTAAAGTCCACTGCCAGCAAAAGTGCGGAGCAGGTTGGGGAGGAAGTAACAGGTGGGATGAGGTTTTGCTCATGAGGCAGTGGGTTAAGCGTGCTGAAAGAAGGCTCAAGTTATATATTCCTCAGTTGTGACTTTGGGTTTAGTAATTAAGTAAGCCTGTTTCACTAATCTGAAAAATAACAAGCCTTTTACTAATGCACATAAAGTGCTTGGTAAATATAAAACTAAATATAAAAATAAATTTCAGTCTCAAAAGTGATCCCCCCCCCCCCCGGGTTAGTCAGAGGAGACAGATTTGTATTGCATTTTTCATAAAATCATGTAACTTACCTGCAGATTAATTTCAGAGCTTAGTTTGTCCAGTCTTTCTGCATTTGTGCTTACACATACATCTTTTTTCAATATTGCCAGTTAGGGGTTATCTAGCACTGACTGGCCGGGTATTCTTACATGGGAGGCAGCCTTTACTGAACCAGTCAATTCCAACCGTTCTGAAAGGAAGGTCCTTTATGCTGTCATTATTTGTATTGTGTACTAAAGGGAAGAAGAAAAGATACAAGGTTTTTAAAATTAAACCCCACAGAGTTGAGGAAGGGAAGCGATAAGGATTTAAGGCAGAAAAGTTGATTATAGTATCTAGTCTTAGGGCATAACATTTCATTTTTTCAAATACTATATGAAGGATAATTTATCTTTAATATCTGTGTGACTATTTACATTCCTTAAATTCTAAAAACTTTTAGTCAAATAATACATCTGACTGAATTGTTCAGTAGTATTGTCTAATCTTTGTATTGGATGCTGTCTTGCTGTGAGCAGATACGTGATGTGATGGTTAATAATTACCAATTTGATGAGATTTAGGGTCACTTAGGAGACAAACATCTGGTCACGTCTGTCAGAGAATTTCTAGATTGGGTTCATTGAGATGGGAAGAGCCACCCTAAATTTGGATGGAACTGTTCCATGGGCTAGAGTTGTAGACTGGAAAAAATGAGCAAGTGCGCTGAGCACCAGCTTTCTGTGCTTCTGACTGTGGGTACAATTTGTTTAGCTACTTCATGCTGCTTCTACAGTGTTCCAACCCATGATGGACTGTACCTCCAAACTATGAGACAAACCCTTAAGTTGCTTTTGTCACAACAGTGAGAGGGAGGGAGGAACAGAAGAAAGGAAAAGGAGGGAAGAAGGAAAGGCTTGTTTTGACTCCTAGTTGAGGGTACAGTCCATCCTGTTGGGAGGCATGGTAATGAGAACATGATTGTGACTGACTGTGATGGGCTCGGAGAGGAGGAGGCAACTGGCTAGTCACATTTTGTCCACAGGAAGCAGAGAGAGAGGCTCTTGTGTTCAGCTCAACTCCCTTTTTCCTTCTTTTTTTTTGGTCTTTTTGAGTCAGGGTCTCCCTGTAGCCCCAGCTGTCCTGGAACTCACTATGTAGACCAGGCTGGCCTTGAACTCACAGAGGTCCTCCTGCGTCTGCCTTCTGAGTGCTGGGATTAAAGGTGTGTGCCACCACGTCCAGCCCTTTTTCCTTTCTTACTTAGTCTAGTACCCAGTCCATGGATATTGATGGCCTACATTCAGATTGGGTCTTCCCTCAGTTAAGCCTCTCTCAAAAGACCCTCACAAGCATGTCCAGAGGGGTGTCTCTTAGGTGATTCCAAATCCAGTCAGGTTGAAAATTTAGATTAGCCTGGATAGCTCAGTTGGTAGAGCATCAGACTTTTAATCTGAGGGTTCAGGGTTCAGGTCCCTGTTTGAATGCTCATTTTGCTGGGCTTGGTGGCGCATGCCTTTAATCCCAGCGCTTGGGGAGGCAGAGGCAGGCAGATCTCTGTGAGTTCAAGGCCAGCCTGGTCTACATAGTGAGTTCCAGACCAGCTGGGGCTGCAGGGAAACCTTGTCTCAAAAGACCAAAAAAAAAAAAAAAAAAAAAAAAAAGGTAGATTAACCATCATAAGTCTGTTTTCAAGTTGATGAAACACAAACACATCATTTTAATATCACATTGTTCCACTTCTGGCCCCTAAAGTTTCATGTTCATCTAAGGTGCAAAATGCATTTAATCTATCTCTTAAAGTCCCTAAAGTCTTAACAGCTTCAACATTTTTCTTACTTTAAAAAATAATATCTTTTATTTTTATGTGTATTAGTATATTGTCTGCATGTATGTAAGTGCACCAGTGTCATGCAATACCCATGGAAGTCAGAAGAGAGCATTGAATTCCCCTGGAACTGGAGTTAATAGATAGTTGTTAGCCACTGTGTGGGTGCTTGGACTTGAACCTGGGTCCTCTGCAAGAGAAGTCAGTGCTCTTAACTGATGAGCCATCTCTCTAGCCCAAGTTTCAATATTTTTCAAAAGTCCAAAGTCTCTTGTGAGATTCAAGGCACTCTGAACTGTGAGCCACTATAAAATAATAATAATTAAAAAATTACTGAAAAGCTTTAAATATTGCTAGATACCAAATGTTCCAAAAAAAAAAAAAAAAAAAAAAAACCCAAAAAAAGGCTTGTTTTTTTTTTTTGGTT